TTTTAGAGAAGAGCCTACAGGGTATTCAGGGTCTCACTACTAGATCAGATTCATAGTGATCCACCTGTTTACATCCTCTCAAGAGCTGGAATTACAGGCGTGCACCACCATGCCCAGTCTCAGTTGCCATCTCAGCACGCCCCAGCATGGCAGGCCCAGGAATCCTCGGCCCCTGCACAGGCACTTTAATCCGCTGAGCTAATTGGCCGGCCTCAGACTCCTACTCTTAAGAGATTTAAAGAACCTTTAATTATAGTGATGCTAATTGAAATATGGGTAATCTGAAAACTACTTGTAGCATGTCTTTCTCCTTCCTCCCTCTTTACCACAGCTAACTTTCCTTCCACAAATAGCTCCATAAAAAGGTGAATTTAAAGATAGTGGTCATGCTTATGTCATATATTTTTCAAAAATTGTTAATGAGCTAACAACTCTTATCATAAAAGATACTTCCTGTGCTTTTTTAACATTTTAAATATATTTAGGAAAATTCTGGAAACAGAATTTTGAAATAGTCTAGGATGTAGTTTTGTTTTTTTTTTTAAAGGTGCTTAAAGCAACACATAAAAGGGCTACAGCAATGATTGCAGCCTCCAGAACCTCCACCCGATAGAGGTCACTAAGAAGTTTTTAAAAAATGAGAAGCTGGCACTGCAGTTCAGTGATAGAGTGCTTTCCTAGGATGGATGAGGCCTGAGTTCAGTCCCAGGCACCACAAAAAATAAAAAGAAGCAACCTAGGTTAGCAACTCAGTGGTAGAGTGTTTGTTTGCCTAGCATGCAGAAAGGCCCTGGGTTTGATTAAAAACAACAAAAGACTTGGGCCCTATTCCGGACCTCATGAATCCAGTTCTTTAGCAGACAAGATACTGGTTGTGTAGATTTAGGGAAAAAAAACATACAAATGAATCTAATGTTGAACCAAATTCAACAAATATTATTTGCCTTTGAAGTTACACATTTAATAGTGGAATTCTTTTTAAAATGTTTTTGCTGTGTGATTTTTGGGAGGTTGGTTTTTTGAGCTAGGGTTTCACTATGTATGTCTGGTTTTGAACTCACTATGTAGCCCAGTTGATCCTCTGGCCTCAACCTCCAAAGTGCTGGGGTTACAGGCTTGTACCACCATATCCTTATTATTAAAAATTTTTATTGGTGTCCGTGATTTAAAGATTATATTGCATACACAGGCTTGTTAACCATTCCTTTCATTGTAATGAACTTAGGTTAATTTAGAGATGTGGGATTTTATGTTTGACATATATACAAAAATACAAGATCCTGAAAAATAGTCCTAGTAGCAAAATTTGAGTTTATTTCTTAGATCACGTGTTTCTCATCTATAGGTTGAATTTATAATAGACATGATACTCTTTTTGGAAGTGCGTTTTTAACTGCAATTCTTTGATAATTTATGACAATATTGTTAGTATTGAAACAACTTTTTGTTTCTCAAGTTAGCACAGAATTCAAAGATTCCTGAACTGTAAGCCAGTTATGCTGAGACAGTGTTCATTGGCATATTTGATACTTATTTAAAAGCAAAGTAAATGCTGAAACAGGTTTTATTTCTTCTGTATTATATATTATGTTATCTAAATTATCTTTGTGTTTGATTTTAATTGGACTGAATTGTTTTCTGCATTCTGGTATTACATTGACAAGCACATTAAAAGTGTGACTGCCTTACTATACATAGAAAATCAGGCAAATTCCAGTCATCCTGTGTGTGTGAAAATCAAGGAAGAGTTTTTTTGTTGTTTGTTTGTCTGTTTATTTGCTTAAATCACTAAATTGAGGACCATTTGATTCTTACTGTGGAACTTATGTATAGGTTGGGGGAGCACTTAATTACAAACTTTCTTTTCTGCTAGCATTGTGTAATTTTTTTTTAGAAAAGTATTTGCAGTGTACTAATACTCTTATTTTTTTCTATTTAACTTTCCTGACTCTACTATATTGCTGATATTTTTAGATAGAGAATGAAACTAGTTATAAGAATAAGCACAAAAAATACACATTACAATTTTGCTAATATTTATAGAGAGACTTACCTTTTTAATTAGGCTTTTCTCTGCTGAATAAAAATTTAGCTTTGATTAATTGACTTTGGTTAAACTTCCAGTGAGGAATAATTTTATTCTTAAAGTATACCACATGGCTAGGGGTTGTTATGTTAAATGTTCACTCTGATCTAGCAAGGAATAAGTGGGAATCAAGTTGAATTCTATACAATCATCTGTATACTTATTCACAGTTATTAAAAATTATAAAAAGGTAATAAACTTTTAAAATACTAAAAGTTGCATTTAATATTTTCAAACTTTTAGGCCCACCCAAAATACTTGAGTTGTATTGCAATTAGTTGCTTTTTCCTGGCTGCCAAGACTGTTGAAGAGGATGAGGTAATAAATCCTTTCATGATTATTTCCTTTTCAAATATTTCATTTTTTAAATTAACTTGCTATTTGTTTACCAAAACAAAAATTAAAAATGTTCTTCCTATCCCTGTCCCTTTTGCTTTGGATAGAAAATTCCGGTACTGAAGGTATTGGCAAGAGACAGTTTCTGTGGATGTTCCTCTTCTGAGATTTTGAGAATGGAGAGAATTATTCTGGATAAATTGAATTGGGATCTTCACACAGCCACACCATTGGATTTTCTTCACATTGTAAATATACCCAAAGTATTTGAATACATAGTCCTGTTTTAGTAACTTAAAATTTATAGAGTTATGTGTCTAAATCACTATATTAATACCTTAGAAACTTAAAATTTGACCAGTTTAGAATACCCAAAGATGTCATATTAATTTCTATATATAATTTCCTACACATTTTAAGTGCTATGAGAATGATCTTGTGACTCCCCTTTTCCTCCCCCAGTTCCATGCCATTGCAGTGTCAACTAGGCCTCAGTTACTTTTCAGTTTGCCCACGTTGAGCCCATCTCAGCATTTGGCCAGCCTCACCAAACAGCTGCTTCACTGTATGGCCTGCAGCCAACTTCTGCAGTTTAAAGGATCCATGCTTGCCCTGGCCATGGTTAGCTTGGAAATGGAGAAACTCATTCCTGATTGGCTTCCTCTTACAATTGAACTGCTTCAGAAAGCACAGGTAGGTGTTAGTTCAGTGAACACCCGTTTCAGGGTTTTTCCTTGGCATATAGTTACCAACAGAGACATTTCTAATTTTATAATGATGAACTTTTTTTTTTTTTTAAAGTAAAAATATCAGATACTTTAAACTTATGGGCTAGATGTGTTTCTTTTTTCATAAAATTTAGGTAGTATTTTCTTCTTTCCTTTGCACTCTTCTAGATTAGGAGTTTTGAACTATTAAGATGTTTGGTAGGTGTGGGGAAATAGCTCAGTGGTTTAAGCACTTGTTTGGCATGTTGAAAGACCCAAGTGAGATTCCCAGTACTGAATGCCGTGCCTGCCATGGGGCCTTGGAGCCTCGTGCCCTGTATCCAATTTTAAAAAAAAAAGATTCTTAGTATATTCTCCCTTGGTTTTAAATAGAGAAACATTGAGTCTTACATTTCATGCAGTATATGTCAACTTCAGTTTATAAAAATACCAAAAATATATACCAAAAAAGTTGGTTTTTTACCAAATAATTTACTTTTGACTAGAAAGTGAAATACTTCCTTTATAAGGCAGTATTTATTTTTACCAGTACTCTGGTTTTTTGTGTTGGATATTAATTAAAAGACTTATATTCTAAGCTTAAAACATTTTGCAATATAAAGAAAACTATAGTGGTATTATAATTGTAGAAAAGAATAGTTATTTTATTGTATGGTAAAATGTACAATAACAGTAATATTTAAAATTTCTATTTGTGGGCCGGGGTGAGAGTTCAGCAGCATAAGTGCCTGCCTGGCAAGCACAAGGTCCCAAGTTTGATCCTGGTACTGCATTAATTAATAATTAATTTCTGTTTGTTAAAATGGTCTTATAGATGTAAGCTGTGAGGATACTGAGAAGTAACTGAGGGCTTTCTCAGCTTCTGAGCATTTGAGGCCCTAGTTCATAAGCAGAGAAGGGCTGAGTCATTCAAAAGGATGGTGATCAGGGCAATATTTAGTCAGAGTTCTACCTATATAACAGATTATTCTTTACAAGGGAGATAATTTATTTTTAATCTTTTATTCATTTGGTACAGGATCTCATTCCACAGTGAGGACTCAGTGATCGTCCTGTCTCAGCCCCTCCAGCCCTGGGATTATAGGCATGTGCCACCACACCAGTTTCGGTGACCTCATGGCAAGCCTGTTTCTGGGGCTGGTACAGCATGCAGTACTAAGGATTGAAATCCGGACCTTGCGCTTGCCAGGCAGGCGTTTAGACCCCTGAGCTATCTCCCCGGCCTAAGAGAGATAATTTTGAAAAGAAATCATTATTTTTCATGGTAGCCCATCCATGTCTTCCACACATAGGATATATTTTTATTTTTGCTTTTATCCTTTCCTTCCTTTTGTTCGATATAAGTTTGCTTTGCAGAACCAATGTTTTTTTTGTGTGTGGGGGTTTGGTGGTGGTTTTGTTTTTCTTCTGTCTTTTGAGACAGAGCCTCACTTTGTAGCCCAGGCTGGCCTCAAATTCACTGTGATCCTCCTACCTCAGCCTCCCAAGTGCTGGGATTCAGGTATATGCTACCATGCCTGGATGCAAAGTCAGTTTTTTCCTTATCCCAATTCACCCCTCACTTTCAGCACTGTTAAAAAAAAAGTAGCATATCTTCGACCAAGGTTATGTGGTGCTTTCAATGAATTAAGTGTTACGATGGAAATAAAGCCTAGAAGGAAGTTACTTAGTGTTTTTAGAAATTACCATAGACGGGGGGGCCAGGGAGATAGCTCAGTAGAATAAGTATTTGCCTGGCAAGCACAAGGGCCTGAGTTCAATCCCCTGTTCCGCAAAAAAAAAAAAAAAAAGCCAAAAAAAATTACCACAGACTACCATCTTTTTTTTTTTTTGCGGTACCAGGGATTGAACTCAGGACCCTGCACTTGCCAGGTAATCACTTATTCTACTGAGCTGTCCCCCAGCCCACTGTCTACCATCAAAATGACTGGCATGGCACAGGAAACTTAATTTTTCTACCTAAAGTTTTGGAGTTAAACTGGAATATTAATGCTGTACATTAAATTGTGAAGCAGGGAATATAAACATTAATAGAAAACCCTTACTACATTATGTTTTCATTGGAATAAATAAATGCTTCATGACTTGGCCTCTTGGTCTAGTCCCAGGGTAGAAAAAGAAATTCTCTGTGTAAAGTGTCCCAAACATAGGACAGACCTTGAAGCATAATTAAGGATATTATAAATAACAAGGTATATTCTGAGGTTTGAGAGCTTGTTCTCTGTTGAAGAATACTGGGAAAACTGTAGCTTCACTTTTTGTGTTTTCTGGTGCTGGAAGAAAACATTCTCTGCCCCAGTACTGGGAAAAACAAAAAACAAAAAACACTGAACTCACTTTTCCTTTAATTGAAGGAGTATTATAAACTTGAGATTTGACAGGCTGTTCTTAAAAATCATTTCATTCAGTCCTTTACTTTATAGCTCCATTTCAGGAGACATGGATTTGCTTAGAGCCCCATAGAACAACTTAGTCATGAAGAAGACTAAAGATAGCCAGGGTTTTTCCAGTACCAAAGAGCTGTAAAGGTTCTAGTTTGGCATTTTAAAGAGTTGCCTTTATAAATGGAGCACTTTCCCTACCTTCCTTTCCCTTACAAAGTATTGTATATGCAACCCCAGAATACAGAGTATTTGGGAGGGAGGACTATCTTTGTAACATAGTTAAGGGCAGAGATCTGTTGAGATCAGTGCTACTCAGCAGAGCCTTCTCCCTTCTATAAACTGTTTGGGCATTGTTTGAAAACCCTGTATTAATAGTTATATTCTGCAAACATTTTTTTGAGAAAACTATGATCTGCTTATTGGGAATAGTGATTTTTTTTTTAAAGTCTGTAATAGGGAAGATAGTGAATAAAAACAGGCTCACAAAACTTGGTAGAGACTTTGGGACTTGGTCCAGCAGCTCAACTCTAAAAACTAAGTTGGGCTAATAGCAAGTCTTGTGCCCCAAACCCAGAAAGCTCTGGGTTGTTTTTGGATTCAGTTCCATCTTTGCCAAGTTCACCTTTGTTCAGGTTGTAGACTAGGTTTTAGTATCTTTATAATGAGACTGTGAGGAGGCCTGGATTTCTGATGTGATATAAGGAATTCTGGCATCAGACCTGGAGAGGTCATGCCTCCCCAGTAGTGTAGTAAAGTCAATAAATAAAAAGCAGACCCTCTGTCAGGCATGGTAGTGAATGTCTGTAATCCTAGCACTCCAGCTAAGGCAGGAGGGTCACAGTGAGTTCAAGGTCAGCCTGGGTTACATGAATGAGTTCAAGGCCAGCCTACACACAGAGTGAAATCCTGTTGAAAAAAGGCAGACCCTCCCCATCATATTATCACACCACCACCACAAGATCCTGGTTCTTCTTGAGGTACCAACATCAAACTTTTCAGGCAGATGTTCTCAGTGCTTCATGATGCCCCCCCAACCTGGGCCCACATTCTTCTTTTTAACCCCTAAGCAAGAGATACTTAGAAATAATCACCATGTTCGAATTTGGGAGATTCATTAAAATTAACAAGCTTCTTTTGACAGCTATAATTAGAGAAAAATTCATTTTAAATGCTTTTTACAAAGAATGTCAGTGGCATTTAGAGTTGTATTTCCAGAATATGTACTTGTTTTATTTTACCCCTTGAATTCAAATTTAGACTGTTTTACTATGATGTGTTATTTTAATTGGTTTGAGATTTGGGTGAAGTTCATATAGATACTGTGGATTTAAGTAACTTCTACTACTGCAGCTAAAATATAATTTCATGGGGGATTTCTTGCATACAGAAAAGACAGGTCTCTTCAGGATTCTGTTATATTGTTTCTTATGCCTAGTGATCAAGGCACTAGAGTATTTGTGGAAGTTTTACTTTTCTAAGATACGAAGTGTTTGTTGCTAAACAATAGTTCTATATTTCATTTTTGTTCTGTTTTATAGGCTGCTGCTTTGTTTCGTGGGTCAGCTTATTCTACATCCCGGTACTTGGGGAATTACCTTAAATATTATTAAGTAAGAAAAAAAAATTTAAGGAAAAAATTCCAATAGTAGTTAATGCCTTATTCATAGTGTACTATCATAGGAGAACAAAAAATCTGAACAAAATGATTGATAATAAAATATTCCATTTCACAAATACGATTTTTGACTATTTCAGGTATTTACTTGTATTACATGACTAAGACTATAGCCTTTTAGCTTTCTTTAATGGTTAATATATGACACTATGACACTATTTAACAAAATTAGTTTTGAGGCTAGGTGTGTTCTCACACAGAACTTTATTTTCTGTGTAATATTTTAGTTACGCTGTATAGTGCAGGGTAAGTAGGATGAATAAGACTTAGTTAAGATATGTCCAGAATATCTACAAAATCAGCAAAATTAGATAAGTGATAGTTAACCCGTGACAGTTAAATGACCAGGATAGCTTCTCAGAGGTGATGGCCACACCTCAAGGGAATGAACAGGCTAAACGGTGTTAGCAGGTACAAACATGATGAGAAAGATTGAAAGGGGGTAAAATTTGTGCAAAAATCCATCAGGCCTTTTTGACAGGAATGTAGAGCATGAATGTTGAAGGTATACTAGGAAATATGGCTGAAAAAAAGAGGTTGAAGTTAGATTAGAGAGCCTTATTAAAACTAGGGGGCCAGGGAGATGGCTCAATGGAATAAGTGCTTCCCTGGCAAGCACAAGGGTCTGAGTTCAATCCCTGGTTCAAAAAAAAAAAAAAGCTAAACTGAGGTTAGCTTATGGAGACCCCCCCCCATTTAAAATAAAAAAGGGTTTACTGTGAAGGCCAGTCCCCAGTACTGGGGAAAAAAAATAAACCCGAATAAAGACAGAAATACAAGATACTGTAGATGATTGTGGCAGTGCTGTGATTACAGAGAACGTAAAGCAGAGACTCTTGAAAGCTATAGTGGAGACCTTAGAGGGTTCAGTTTAGGTGATTTTAAAACACTAGGGACAGGGGCCCGGGAGATATCTCAGTGATACAAGTGCCTGCCTGGCAAGTGCAAGGACCCGAGTTTGATCCCCGATACCAAAAATAAACACTGGATTTTAAGACCTAGTGTGAAAAAACTAAACATAACACTGGGGACAGATGGCTACAGATGGGGGTGGTGGTGCACAAGTCTGATGTGATTCTGAAGGGCTACTTAAATTGTGCTGAAGGATAGGAATGAGCAGAACTCCCACATTAAGCAACAGTGTTAAAAATATTCTTAATACTGTTTGTTATTATAAACCTCACTGAAGTTCTCATTTATTCAAATCAAAATATTTAAATTATTTCAAATTCACAACTAGACATAGCCTTCCTTCTCTCTGATTTAACATTTTTTTCTTTGCTTCTAGCTTTTTTTTTTTTTTTTTTTTTTTTTTTTTTTTTTGATGGAACTAGGGATTGAACTCAGAGCCTTGCGCTTGCCAGGAAAGCAATTATTCTACTGAGCCATCTCCCCGGTCCCCTTCCTTAAATTCTTCATGAATTTTATGTTTGTCTTTTCTGTAGTCTTCACTGAAGAAATTAAATGAGGCAGACTAGTGGGGTGAGAGGCCTCGTAGAGAGAGAAGAGGCACAAATTGGGAAAAAAGCAGACTTTGGTTGTATAGTGGTGAACAGTTTGGCAAATAAGTTTCAAAGAGATTTATATTACAGATAGGGTTTTGCATAATTTAAGATGACACTTAAGCTTCTAGAATCAGTGAATTTAGTAGGTATAAGGAGAGAGAATACTGGAGGATCAATGAACAGGAGGAAAAGTAGCCAGCAGAGAGAGCAGTGGTTGTTAATTAATGGTCAGTGTTGTGTTTTCTCTCTGGTCCAGATGGAGAGCTCCCAGTTGATCCACTGTCGAGAGCGGGTGGCCCATCACCTTTCTACTCCGCAGTCTTCCCTGCCTCTAAATTCCGTGTATGTCTACCGTTCCCTCAAGCACACCCTGGTAACCTGTGACAAAGGAGCGTTCAGATTACATCCCTCCTCTGTCTCAGGCCCAGATTTCTCCAAGGACAACAGCAAGCCAGAAGTGCCAGTGAGAGGTACAGCAGCCTTCTACCATTCTCTCCCAGCTGCTGGTGGGTGCAAGCACGCCTCTGCTAAACGCAAAGTGGAGGAAATGGAAGTAGATGACTTCTATGATGGGATCAAGCGACTCTATAATGAAGACAGTGCTGCAGAAAGTGTAGGTCCTGTGTTTGGCACAGATTTATCAAGGCAAGAGGGACATGCTTCCCCTTGTCCACCTTTGCAGCCTGTTACTGTTATGTAGTTTCAACGTGTGTTACCTTCCAGTGCAAACAAAGATTGCCTACTTTGGGAACAAACTGTAAAACTAGGAGAGGCTATGGTGGAATGTGTACCTTATCAGGCTGATTTGAAGTGAGCCAGAAAAAACACACCCTCATTTACTTATGCAATTAATTATAATTTAGCATTGTTTGAAAGCAAAAAAATATTTACCAAAACATTTTTTAAAAGTAAATTTCTTTGTAGTATGTCAGTTTATGCTCTTTCATGCTAAAATGTATTTTGTTCCATTTCAAAAAATTGTTGGAAAAATTCCAGAATTAACAGCTGTAAGCCCTTTCCCCCAGCCTTGTGATTTTTCTTTTTCTTTTGTTTTTCTATGGAATGCTTAATGAATTTTATGCTCATTGATCTATGTTTTCTGCCTTCCACTAGATAGGTACTTCCCTC